GGGGGGGGGGGGGTATGGTGATGCGCATGGCGGCTTTAGTTTTGGAGATGGAAACTGAGGAGGAACGTCTCTTCTAGTCTTTGCTAGAGCGTTTGATTTACTGATAGAAAACTCGAGTTTAGCACTTGGTCACTTTTTGGAGTTTAGTGGCCGAGACTCAGGATGATTATTTACTCTACAGGAAGTCCGATAGAGGTCTTTGCACGGATTGCAAGGTCATTCCGAGTGAGAACCTTGAGATCATGAGGAAGAGGAGGAAGAGGGCGATATATAGCCAATATAGGATCAAGTGGGGAGCCTTGACGGAAGCTAAAGAGCAGGAGTTGGGGGTCAAGCTGGTGACAAAGGGGGCTTAGAGGAGCAGTGGTGATGCAAGCGCTATGTGGACCACGACTACCCAGTACATTAGGGAAGCCGCAGGTGAGGTATCTGAGGTCTCAAAGGGTTACTCTGGTGGTCATAAGGGAGACCGGTGGTGGAATGGAGAAGTGCAAGGTAAAGTGGAAACCAAGAAAGTAGCGTATCTGAAGCTAGTGGAAAGTGTAGACGAGGAGGAGAAGAGGCGGAATAGGGAGAATTATAAGTTGGCTAAGAAAGAGGCAAAACTAGCAATTATGGCGGTAAAAAGTGTAGCATTTAGTTGTTTGTATGAGGAACTCAAGGGCCAAGGTAGGAATAAGAGGTTGTTCAGGTTAGCCAAGGCGTGAGAAAGAAAGGCGCATGACTTGGACAAAGTGAAGTGAGTCAAGGACGAAGAAGGTAGAGTTTTATTAGATGAGGGGCTTATCCGACGGAGATGGCAGACCTACTTCCATAGTCTCTTGAACGAGGAGGGTATAAGAGCATTGTTCTAGGTGATTTGGAACTCTCTGGGAGTTGTTGTGACTTTGTGTATTGTAGGCGGATTAGAGTTGATGAAGTTGAGGAGGCTATTCATAAGATAAGTAGGGGCAAAACGACCGGGCCGGATGAAATTCCAGTAGAGTTTTGGAAGAGTACGGACAAGGCAAGCTTGGAGTGGCTCACTAGGTTATTTAATGTCATTTTTAGAACGAAGAAGAAGCCCGAAGAGTGGAGGTGGAGAACGATGATTCCTGTATACCAAAACAAGGGTGATATCCAAAATTGCAATAACTATCGGGGTATCAAGCTGCTTAGCCATACTATGAAAGTCTAGGAGAGAGTGGTAGAGCTAAGGGTGAGGAAGATGGTGTCTATTTTTGAGAACTAGTTTGGGTTTATGCCGGGGAGTTCGACTACAGAAGCCATCCACCTTGTTAGGAGATTGATGAAGGAGTTTCGGGAGAGAAAGAAGGACCTGCATATGGTGTTCATCGACTTAGAAAAGGCGTACAATAAAGTTTCGAGGGAGGCTTTGTGGAGATGTTTGGAGGCTAGAGGTGTACTTGTTACCTATGTTAGGCTAATAAGGACATGTATGATAGAGCAAAGACACGAGTGAGGAAGGTGGGTAGGGACTCAGACCATTTTCCAATTATGATGGGGTTGCATCAGCGTTTGGCACTCAACCCTTTTTTGTTTGCTCTGGTGATGGACGTACTGACGTGCCACATCCTAGTGGAGGTGCCGTGGTGCATGATATTTGCAAATGATATTGTATTGATTGACGAGACGCGAGACTGTGTGAATGTGCAATTAGAGATATGGAGGCAGACCCTAGAATCTTAAGGTTTTAAGTTGAGCAATACCAAGACAAAATATTTGGAGTGTAAGTTCAGTGGCGAGACTTGGGGGGGGGGGGGGTGAGGATGGACTCGCAGGTCATCCCTAGGAGAGGGAGTTTTAAGTACCTTGTGTCTATTATTCAGGGGGATGGGGAGATTGATGAAGATATTACACATCGCATTGGGGTGGGATAGATGAAATAGAGACTCGCTTCCGATATTTTATGTGACAAGAAGGTGCCACCGATACTTAATGGTAAGTTCTACAGAGTGGTGGTTAGACTAACGTTGTTGTATGGGGCTGAGTGTTGGCCAGTAAAGATCGCTCATGTCCAGAAGATGAAGGTAGCAAAGATAAGGATGTTGAGATGGTTGTGCGGGCACACCATGTTAGATGAGATCAGAAATGAAGTTATTCGTGACAAGGTGGGTGTGGCTCCTATTGAGGACAAGATGTGGGAAGCGCGCTTAGGTGGTTTGGTCATGTGAGGAGGAGGAGCACAAACGCCCGGTGAGGAGGTGTGAGAGGTTGAGTGTCATGATCCCAAATAACCCGGTCGTGATGGCGCCTATCACAGTACTAGGCCAGCCCAAAAACAATACGAACAATACGGAGATCATTTATAAATTCACTTTTCTAAACAAATTAAGTCTCAAAGCTTTCATTTTTAAAATATTAAATAAATACACGGAATAAGTACGAAAATACATCAACCCAGCCCGAATCTGGTGTCACTAGTCATGAACCACTAAATACACTCAACACTGTCTGCTCAATACAAAACAAGTCTGAAATATAAAGTACTAGAATAGGAAGGAGAAAGGCAGGGCTGCGAACGCCGTGCAGCTACCTTGCAATCTCCGGATAAGACTCTGACAGTGCTAGAAGCTCTCACTTTGATGCTCGAGCACCTGGATCTGCACACAAGGTGCAGGGAGTAATGTGAGTACGCCAACTCAGTAAGTAACTAAAGTAAATAAAGTCTGAGTGTAGTGACGAGCATTTAAAAATCATATGCAAACTTATCAAGAAAATCTCAACAGAAATATCAAGTCAAAATCTGCAGTTCAATAGCCAGTTATCTCGTAAAACTCCAGTTTCAATTAAAAATCCTTTGAAAACATTTATTCAACATTTTTGACAGAGGCCTCAGTATAAAAGAAGAGTGAAAGCAAGAAAATGTCACAAACAAGCCCCTCGGGCAAGGTACCACTCATAAGTACAGCCTCTCGGGCAAACCCCTCAGTCACTCGTGACTCAGCTCTCGTCAAACAGTACTCTCACTCAGCACTCCGGCTTAATAGATATCTCATAATAATAATAATAATAATCGCTGCAGCGCGCAGCCCGATCTGTAATATATAGTCGACTACGCTCACTGGGGGTGTACAGACTCTGGAGGGGCTCCTACAGCCTAAGCGTCATATCGCTGCGGCGCGTGGCCCGATCCAATATATATCGCTGCGGCGTGCAGCCCGATCCATAATATATATATATATATATATAAAATCATCACTATTAGATGCTCAACCTCTCTCAGTCATTAATCTCACGGCCGCTCGGGCATATCAGTGAAAATCAGGAAAACTCAGCCCAAACAGTTTTCATATATTAAGAAGTAGAGTGATGAAACCGGATTAAACAATAAACAGGTAAAACATGATGAGGATATTCTTTCAAATCAAAACAGGGTGAGGAAAGTAGTAAAATACCCCTAAGGGTCTAAACAGTTCGGTACAAAGGCCCCAAACATGGCATTCAACCCAAATTAACAAACCAATTTCTAAAACACATGGATATCATATACAATATATCAAAATATGCAACTATACAGCCGCCTCGGGACGGACCAAGTCACAATCCCTACGGGTGCACGCCCACACGCCCGTCACCTAGCATGTGTGTCACGTCATTTATCAAACAGTACGAAATTCCGGGGTTTCATACCCTCAGTTCTAGATTTAGAATCGTTACTTACCTCAAACCGGATGAAATACTACTTCGCGATGCCCTTGCCTCTTGACTCGGCCTCAACTCGCGTCGAATCTATCCAAAATCAGAATCATAACATCAATATATGCTAAGGAAACGAAGCCTATGCGAAAATTATCAAATTACATCAAAAAATCCCGAAATTGGTCAAACCCGACCCCGGGCCCACGTCTCGGAATCCGATAAAAATCACATCAATAGATTCCTTATCCTCCCACGAGTCCGTACATAACAAGAACGTCAAAATCGAACCTCAAATGGTCCCTCAAATCCCCAATTTACACTCTCCAATTTCAAGCCCTAATCTCCCAATTTTAGGCTTTAAATTCCACTAATTTCATGACTAAATAGTTCGAGATCACCATAGAATCGAGTATTGAGTTCAAAAATGTTACTTCCAGGTGTTTCCCTTCGAATCCCTCTTCAATCCCTCTCAAAAAGCTTCAAATCCGGCCAAGAATGGTGAGAAATGGCATAAAAATCGCAAAGATGGCTATTTAAATATTCTGCCCAGGCATTAATTCCTTCTTCGCGAACGCGGTCAAAGCCTCCCGTTCGCGAAGCACAAAAATTACATTGCTCAAAATCCTCTTTCGCAAACGCGTGTCCCATCTCGCGAACGCCGAGCTTCAGCTGTCCAGGCCATCGCGAACGCGACACCTTCAACGCGAACGCGAAGTACAAACTTCTGGGGGCCAGCTGCTCCACTTTCCTCTTCGCGAACGCGTCCATCTCCTTGCGTTCGCGATCCTTTGACTGGACATACCCTCGCAAATGCGATTGCCCTTCGTGAACGCGAAGAGCAATTCTTCTGCAACAAAATACCAGAA